ATTCCATCCCAGCACAAATCAATGTTTGCTCCATCCCAGCATCACGGGGGAGGCTGGGCCAGGCAGATTTAAAGGGGCAGAGAGACGAGAGGAGAGGAGAGGGCGGGGTGAGGAGGAGATACATGAAGAAGAGACAGTGGCGGGGGTGGTGGCGGGGGATGCCCAGACTGCAAAGGATGGGTGCGCGCTAACCTTTGGGGAAAGGGAAGCTGATAGGAGAGAAAGGGATGCATGGAGACCCCCTCTCCCGCCAGGTGGCAAGGAACCCTGGGGTGGGGGCAGGGAGCAGGGTGAAGCCAGTGGAGGGGAGAGGAGCCAGGGGGAGGAGACTGAGCTGAAGATGGGGAGGCAGGGGAGGCCAAAACCAGGCGGGGGAGGAGAGATGCTCGCCGGGCTGGAGAGGGCGAGAGGAATATAAAGAAAGAGGTGCAGGGGTGAGAGCTAAGGAGCGGGGAGATGCCGCGCGAGAGGGAGGGAGGGAAGGAGATCCATTCTGGGGCTGGTGAAGGATGGCAAGGAGGAGGGGAGGAGGACAAGAAGGCGTGGAGGTGGGGGGGAGAAAAGAGATGGAGGCAGAGAGGTAGGGAAAAGCGCTGCACTGGGAAGTTCAGGGGTGGGCATAGAAATCAGGCAGGTAGAGCCCAGAGAGGCTGGAGCACCGGAAGTGGTGTTTGTGGGTCCTTGGGAAGAAAGGAGAGACCGTGGGTTGCCTGTGCCCGTGCCATTGAGTCTGCTGCCCTAGCCAAGGAAGCTGCTGGCATTAGACCCAGAGTCTCACCTACTTGTGCTGTCTGAGGAAGCCTGGACCACCAATACTTTCCATTCCTCAGTCCTCCTGACCCACCCCCAGCGTGTCTCCCCGGGTTGTTTCTGTGGGGTGACATGAAGAGTATATAGTTTTTTGTGTGTTTCTTTTTGGAGGGGGGAACAGAGGACCATGCTTGAGGTCCTTGAAGGTCCCAGAAGGCTTGGGGAGACCTTCCCTTCTCTTTTGCAAATACAGAGGCAAAGATACACAGATATGTTTGGGTGGGCATCCTCCAGCCCACCACCCTTCTCTAGCCACCCACAGGAGGGACAGCATATCCTTGGCCTTGCCAGCCAGAGGCAGGTACACACCACTGTTCTCTGCCTGCAGGTTGCTGGCACTGTGGCTCTAGTTCCATCCCTAGACTGGAGAGTTTGGGGACGGGGCCAGTGTGTCCAATTACAGCGGTCTGACTTTACAGGGGAGACAGCTGACACCCAGAGGGGAAGTCATGCACCAGCAGTCACGCTTTGCAGAGGTGACAAAGTTGGGTGGTGTTGAAGACAAGATTTCAGATATTTTGAACCTGGCCGCTCTTCCCAGGATTCCATGTCCTGGGGGAACCTCCCTTAAACTGGGGAATTCCATTCTGAGCACTTTGGTAAAATAAAGAGTACAGGGTTTAGAATCAACAGGAATCTCTCTCCCATTCTGTTTTCGGAAAGGTAGAAAGAAAGGTGGAGAAACAAGTAAACTGGAAACCTCCAAAGCCCAGACAGCATCTTCTCAGGGCCTTGGACAGGACAGGGAAGCTACAGGAGACACCCGTGGGCCCACCAGGACACGGCTATTGGTGGAGAGCTCATTTATCCATCCGCCCATCCTTCTACCCACTTTCCCATTCATCAAACATTTTCATGGTTTATTGAGTACCAGGTACATTAATTGCCGGGTCCACAATTCCTACTCTCATGGAGCTTACTGTCTAGTAGCTGGACAACTGGACACACAATTATGCGTGGCTAGTGCCCCCACCGTTTGGGAGTAGAACTGGAGGATAGAGCTGAAGCTTGCCTCAGGCTGGCTTCTAAGGAAGAGAGGCATCTTGGATGAATCCAGAAGGCAGTCCCGGGGCATCAACCCTTCCTCGTCCTCTCAGCCCCATGGACACCCTTGTCTTGGAGAAGGAAAGAAAGCAAGACAAGAAACATCAGTCTATGGTTTGGGAGAGACCTGGGCCTTGTTCTTCAGGGAGAAAGACTGACAAGGAAAGTGTCCAGTGAGGGACGAGGGCTTGCTGGAGGTGAGGTTGCTCTGTGTTCTGAGCTGCATATGAAGGTGTAGCGTCCAAACTGCCCTGGCACATGTGGGTAGGTACTGCTCGTGGCCCATCTCCCTGGGTAGACTAGCTCTCTAACTCTTTCCTGATCTGTCCCTATCAGAACTCCAAAACCAGACACACTGCTGTCAAGTGTATTCCAGCCAGGGGCCCTACAGAACGGAGTAGAATTGCTCCTGTAACACTGTACGGGCGTCAGGAGCTTCATCGTGGCAGGACACTCTTTTCCAGAGCGTACACTGGCTCATTGTTTGGTTCCAGTGCCTCAGGAAAGTTCTGTGCCCTGCAGGCCCTGTGCTTGGCACCTTGTCTGCATGACCTCATTCAACTCTCACAGCAAAACTCTCCCCTGTGAGTGGCCCAGGGAGGAGCAGAAAGCTGGCCTTTCAAAGCTGGACAGACTTAGGTATGGCTGCATTCTGATTCTACCACGTGCTAGCTGGTACACCTGAGCACCCTACAGATGCTCTGAGCCACAGTTTGAGTATCTCCAGACGGCAAGTAACAGAACCCATCCAGGTGAAGATGATCATGTGTGGGTAAAACATATGATGACATATAGGAGGGGAAAGCAACCCACTTGGCACAGTGCCTATAACATAGTAAATATCCCAAACATGGTGATTTGGAATATCAAGAATAAAAATACAAATGTCCCACAGTCTCACTGGATCAAAAACATCGTAGTATA